GGTGGGGGGGGGGGGGTAATCTACCACGGACTAAGATATCATTTAGATTTTTATTACGGGTATAGGCGATAAATAAATCATTTGTAAAGACTGTTGGAAATTTTTCCTGCAATTCTTTGTAAATACGGATAATTATTCGGGGAACTTGACCAGCTGTGTTGTTGTATTGTTAGGGTTAGGTTAAGGTTAGGGTTGTATCTATGTACTTATTGATAGTCAGGATGTTGGTGAAGTCCAAATTGATTTTATGTCCTCTTTTCTTTTCCATTATAGCAAGATATTCAGTCAGATGTTCCTTCATTACTGGGCCTGTCTTGATGATCTTTGAGACCTAGGCCTACATCAGGGGATCGTTTTGATTCTTCCATGTACTTACTTCCACAAGACACTGATACACCAAGGCTGAAACATTTGTCTCTATTCCAGCCTCTGATAGCTATTGGTCCATCTCTAGGCTCTATAAAACCAGATTAAGGTTTAGAACTCGTTGCAAATTACACTTGTTAATATTACGGTAACCTGAAATTCTCCATGTTAGGCTTACTCATTCTCAAGTAGGCTACTATATGAAGACTACAGACCACACCGATGTGTTATTATTCCCCTTTATAATCCCAAGGTTATAATTTCAGGTGTCTTTTGAGTTAAGGTGTCAACATTTCTCAAATTCATGGCACCAACATCACTGATGTGGTGACTGCCGCCTTTGTCGATTGAATGTGAAATAGCCTAGGGAACGAGATGGAGAGAAACATGTTTAGCTACAGACTACATGAAAATATAATTATCTCCCCTTGACAACAAGTCAATTCAACGCATTTGTATAATGACATAGTTTGTATTGAACGCAATAAATATCGGCTAGGTCGACTAAGGAATTATAAGCGAAGATGACTTATTCAAGGTCATATGATTGAAACTGCTGAAACAAGGTTACTTGACACACAAACTTCAAATGTCATGTAGGAAAGTTTATAGTCGTGACGGAGAACTCCTTTATAAATACATTAAATCTGCTACTTGCTTTTATTTTTCATATATAGCCACTGCCGTTAATGTCTAACGAAAGCCCTCTTGAACGTTCGTCAAATTAACCTTTTGACCTAACTTGATGACGTCTGCCTTATTCAATCAATTTTCAATCCCTTTCCATCGTTGACATTTCGTAACAGGTCAAAGGGTTTATTTGACAAAACTTCAAGAGGGCTGTCGTTAGATCCCAACTAAAGTGGCTATATTAAAAATAAGCTAATAAGAAAACGGAGTGAAAGTTTGATGTATTTCAAGTTTAGACTGCAAACGGCCAAGACATTTTCCTTGCGCATCGTTCCACAGAACAAGGCCTATAAGGCGAGGCCGCTATTGTTACTTCTTAAAGAGAAGTGTCTTGCCAATGACGTGCAAAATAATATCACTAAATGGTCAAAATTAGACCTAAATTTATTCGTAGTAAATATTAAAAGTCATTAACGTCAGTTATATTGAACATGATTCTTCCGGGAATAGAATCACACGTTTACTTTCAGTCAATAGACTTTATTTAAAAACATTAATCATAACGACCCCTGGGGCAAGGTCAATGTTTCTCGGAATAGGCAACCATTCCATTGTTTGACGTCAATTCGCCACAGGGCTAGCAATGGTAGCAAAGGTTATTGTAGTAGCACCACTTAAATTTCAATTTCAACAAGTAATTTCAAAGATCAAATCTTAAGTGACATGAATACAGTTTCGTTTATAAATATTTCGGATAGGAGTTAGGCCTATTGTCTATAAAATCAATTATAAAAAAATGTATTTTCACTAAACAGCTTTTCTGGGCTTAAAAATAACTGAAACCCCAAAAGATGGCTTTGAAAAGCTATGTGTGGGTGTTGAAGATGAGATCACAATGTCATGAAGTTAAAAAGTCTTCCGTATCCGCTTTGTTCTGTTAAAATTCCATGAAATTTTGTGACGTCAGCTTTCATCGGAACATGATCCATATTATGGAATAAATTATGACGGATACGTTAACGGTTAATTGCACATTTTCCGCGCTTTTTTTCGCGATCCATTGAAACAATACCTGGAAGTTAGTAAAATCATTGTCATGTACACGAGACTTCCGTAATAGATAGCCAATAAAACCATAGTTTGAAAGAGGAGAATGCCCAAGGGTATATCCGAGATAACATTTATCATATCAATTATTAAACAGGTACTATAACTTTCAATTTAATATTGTGTATTCCTAGATCAGCCATAATTCGCGGGAGTATCAATGGCAAATTGTGGGTGGATTTCTATATAAGACACGGTTTCCAAAGTTGCAAATTCATTTATTATACAATTGTGGAGACTAATATTGACTCGAGTGAATCAACTGTCAGAAAAAGAACAGGTAAAATTGATGTAAGTTTTTTTTCCAATTTTCATAGATTTATTTATATAATTATTTTTTATAATATTTTTTTTAACTTTTCTCTTTCTAATTTCACATTTTTGCTTGGTAACTATATGTCAGAATATTGTTTGAAAAATATAACTTTTATTTTTTTAAGTTTCTTAGCGTTTCTTTGTTTACACTATTTAATCGTAACTTTACTGCATATCACCCAACTTTTCTTTCTTTAGGTTCCACATAAAATTATTCGTATAAACAGTAACTATTTGAAAAATTTGTATAGCCTACAATTTATTTGCTTGAAATTTTTCTTTATGACACAGTTTTTTTCCCCTGTAACAATACTTTGTATAGCATGAAAGTACGAAAGGCACACATAAGAAAATATTTTATTTTTCTAAATATATTTTGCACAAATCGAAATTTTAGATTTCACAAGTCGAAATTTCGGATTCCACAGGTTAAAATTTCGGATTCCACAAGTCAAAATTTCGGATTCCACAAGTCGAAATTTCCATTTTCCACAAGTCGAAATGTCGGATTCCACAAGTTGAAATTTCGGATTCCACAAGTCAATTGGTTTGCTTTGTATAACTTTTCTTTATATATCATACAAGTGGTTTACTCTGTATAACTTTTCTTTATGTATCATACAATTGGTTTGCTTAGTAACTTTTCTTTATATATCATACAATTGGTTTGCTTTGTATAACTTTTCTTTATGTATCATACAATTGGTTTGCTTAGTAACTTTTCTTTATATATCATACAATTGGTTTGCTTTGTATAACTTTTCTTTATGTATCATACAATTGGTTTGCTTAGTAACTTTTCTTTATATATCATACAATTGGTTTGCTTTGTATAACTTTTCTTTATGTATCATACAATTGGTTTGCTTAGTAACTTTTCTTTATATATCATACAATTGGTTTGCTTAGTAACTTTTCTTTATATATCATACAATTGGTTTGCTTAGTAACTTTTCTTTATATATCATACAATTGGTTTGCTTAGTAACTTTTCTTTATGTATCATACAATTGGTTTGCTTAGTAACTTTTCTTTATATATCATACAATTGGTTTGCTTAGTAACTTTTCTTTATATATCATACAATTGGTTTGCTTAGTAACTTTTCTTTATATATCATACAATTGGTTTGCTTAGTAACTTTTCTTTATGTATCATACAATTGGTTTTCTTAATAACTTTTCTTTATACATCATACAATTGGTTTTCTTGGCAACATTTTCTATAAATCGGGTGTCGCAAGGTTAGACGGGTATATAGTATCTCAATTGTTGGTAAACAGATCTCTTTCAAAATTCTCACAGATATCATAAAATTGATTTGCTTTTTATAACTTTTCTTTATCTATCACTTTTCGTTTCTTTCATTCGTATTTGTAATTTTTTAAAAATTTTGCTACACATTTGTTTCGCAATTATTGTGCTCTATATTTTGTCTTGTATACTTTCATTCTATTTTTGCTATATATCTTTATACTTTTCTGGATTTTATAAAAGACATATCATGTTTTCCGATGATTATGATATATTCCCTTTCCGTTATTAAATAATAATTATATATAAATTATAGAATTGAGATTTTTGCTTTGTAAAATTTGTTTTTGTGTATTATATATCTACCGCTTTGGTCATATATTAAAGTTTAATAAATTTAATTTTTTAGCTTTGTAACGTGTTTTTTTCTCAATTTCATTTTTTGCTTTGTAATGATTTCAGTTTTTCATCTTTTCAAATATTTTTATAGAAAAAGCATAGCAAAATTATACCTCTAAAGTACAAGTTAAAAACTTTATTGAATTCGAACTCTGTGCACTATGGCGGGTGTTAGGTGCTAGATCGGCCATGCTCACCCTCCCTGAAAACCTGATGTCAGTCTGCTATACGGTTTGTCCAGTCGGCAACCCTATCCATAATTTGTTAAATATTAACACGAAATCAAAAGGGTCTAATAACAATAACGGACCATTCAAAATAGTAATGAATGTCAAAGCTAGTTGTTTGCAGAAAGAGTAACCACTTTCTGTCCAGTGCTTTTCATCAATAATATAATTTATTTGAATCCGTGTAACATAGTAAAATAAAAAGTCGAAAGGTACATTTAAAGGGGCAGCCTCATTTTTTCGTAGTTCGACTAGTTTTTGCCCCTTATCTTATCTGAAAGCTTTAAGTTAAACAATTTTGCCGTTATTTTTAGAACGCTGAATCTATCTACAGTCCCTCTCTTTTTTGATAGGTGTTAGGAACCTAATGTACAGATTTAAGCAAAATAAACGTCAGATATATTTCTCTTACTCATTCTGGTGGTTTCAATTAAAATTATCGAGCCGTATAGGGCCCAACACCAAAACTAGTCTAATTAACAATTTGTACGTTTTTTATTAACACCTTTAAAACAAATTCAGTTTAATCAAGTAGATACAAAGTAGTAAATAGTAGCCTACGCTTAAGAAATAATTTACATCCTTATTGATAATAGACTAATTTTAACACTTCCACTACAACACGAATTTGCCTGGTTTTAGATATTAATAACTTATATTTGATCATGTCGTCTGAGTAATCTGAAAATAATTCATCACTATGACAAGTAATTGTTGTTATTCGTTGACTCAGCAAATATATCATTCGTCATAATCACAACTTATCTGAATTCGAAATTTGACATAATGGCGAAATTTGACTGCAGGGTAAGAATTCGGGGAAGGGAGGGTTTGAAAAACAGACCCACCTTAAATGGTGGCTGTAGAACCTTGGATTGGGTGGGAGGCAGAGCAAAATTTTCAAATCCATTCTAGGGGGGATAGCTGGGGAAATTTCCGGAAGTACTTTTTTTCTATTAGTATTATGTACTTGTAAAGATGGCATCTGGAATGTCTGAAGATCAGATCCACCGTATAATCTGTACGATGACCACCAAGGGTTGTGATTACTCTGATAGAAAATTACTGAATATTGTTTTTCAATTATTTATACCAGATACTAAAGATAGTCAATGTTCAGTTATAAACTAGACATTTAGTGACAGCTTTTAATGACCAGGACAAGTACACGGATATAATGTCGAGGTCGAACAAAATATAACATAATATATAACATGAAAGATGAAAGAACCTATATATCGCAATGTGAAAGAAGGTGGATGACGCATTACAGTGTACAATTAGGGAAATACTTTCGAATTCAATCGATTACTGCATATTCCAATTTTCGAAGATATGCTTGCCAAGCAAGGTAACATGGCAAATGGTAACGAATTATATAATTTACTAGTAACAAGCCAAATACATTAAATTATCAAATTCTCACTTCTCTAAAATAAAGAGTTTACTAAAAGAGAAACATTTCTTTCAATTATTCTTAATTCGAATTTGACACTTCCATGTGGGCGTAGAAAATTCTGAGCCACGCCCATAAAATCTAACATGAATGCACAGATTTATAGAGAACTATGCTTTGGGCATATTGACAGTTTATGTGTTCAGAATGCCATTTGAGCGTTATTCATAATGAAGAACAAATTAGTAATGCAAAATGTTTTAAAAACTCAGCATAAAAATGGATAATAAATCGGTCAATTTACTCGGGTAATTAAAAATGAAAGGCCTATCATGTAATCTCTCTGCGAAAATATATCACCTAGAACCAATGATATTTTAAAATAAATTCACACTGCTTTTAAGGTATATTATTTATCAGTTAAGGTGATTTTGACTAATTGTTTTCCCTCGAGCCTTTTTCATTGATGTTTTAATAGGCCTTAAAATGGAATTAATGGAGTCTAGTGTATAGGCTTATAGTGTAAACTGGCAATTTAGGCGTTAATTTTACAAGAAGATCATCATGAGCCTACATTTTCCTACTGTTGAAGCCATTGACCTCAAAGGTTTAGATTTCAGTTACCATCCTTCTAACGACAGTTGGGAAGGAACTCTGAAAATCAAACGACCTAGATTTTGTTTTAACTTTATTTCGTCTGCTCCATTTTATTTTTGGCGGTAAAAATGGATTATAGTTAGGCCATTTGGATCATGCATTGAATCAGAAATATCTTAGTGCAATAAAAGAAATATTTGTTTCGTTTCATTTTTGAAAAAAATTCTGCTAAATTGAAAATATTTCTGCGGTCCTTAAAATAAACTAAATTAATTTTTAGTGAACATTTCTGTTAACAGTTGGTGAGCTTGGGCGGCTGGGAATTAAAACCCAATGTCGTTTTGTCCCATCAAATAGACTCTTTTTCAACATCTCCTCTTCGACCTGTATCACTGACAAGGGAAACAGGGTTGAAACATCCGACATCTTGGCATATGCCGGGATCGATCGAATCTTGGACCTTCACGTTGGCGAGAAAAGGCATAATTTACCGATCCATCGACCGGCTAAGTTGTGTCAATTTGATAATATAGATATTGTGTTACAATATTCTTTCTAAAATCAATATCCTATACGATGTGATAGAAAAGCTTTTAAACACAATATTGGTTGAAAACTGTCACATCACCCATCATTTATCATCATTCATTATTAAATCAAGAGGTCCAGTGAGACTAATAATTCTAATTTCATATCATATGTTTTTATATCATAAATGTAATTACCAGAGAAGCACTTTAAAGGTAAGCTTAGGTCGATTGGCGATTTATAGTATTTCATCGAGTCCGTCGCAGTTAAAGGGACATCTTCGCCATATTCGGTTTGACCAATCGTACCTTAATCTCAGAAACGATACTTTTTCCAGCTAAGCTAATCAACAATAGTGCTATTTGAGCTTTCAAATCCTTGTGTAACCAGATTTATTCGCTTTTGAAAGTTAAACTGACGACTCGCCTTTTACTGAAATATAGAAAGGACATACATAACATGTTTTAGATTCCGTTTTAATATTATTTATATTATTTGAGTGTGTATATTTAAACACTGTAAGATTTCCGATGAATGCAGATCAAAATGTAAATGCATTCGAAGATCAAATCCCCTCTCCCCTTTTTAGTCCACTATGCTATTGCTATAAAATTATTAATTATTAATTGATCTCCATATATATTGTTATTTCAGTCACGATGCAGATGACTTTGTTGAAATATGCAGATCTGATGGTCTTACTGGTTATATTCGGACTCTGCCAAGATGTACAGTGTCTCACTCCTACAAACTTTTTGAAAAGAGTGGGACTATTTGGTAACGATATGTCAGACTTCGATCCAGATAACCTGGGAGGATTGAATCGACTTTTTAATCTTCTGTCTCAGATGAGAAACAACGTTGAGTCTGGCGTGAAATACGCTGATTACTTAGACTCCATAATGCCCCCTGAGGTCGACCCACCAGAAACAGCAGTCAAGTACTCCCCGGACCAATTCCTGAGAATTGGAAGAAGCTCAAACACACCAACAGACCAGACTAAACGAGCTCGTCCCTCCCTTAGTCGGTTTGTCAGATTTGGAAAACGTTCAACCTCCCAAGAAAATAATGAAGACGAAAGCAATGAAAAGCGATCGAGTTACCTTAGAATTGGAAAATTACCGTCCACTGCATTCCTTAATTTTGCCTTCGGACAACCATCCAGGTATAGAAAATTAAGGGATTCTCAAATTTCCAAATCAAGTGTATTGCGGATGGGTTAATGTCATTGCTGCTAATAGTCATGTTTGTAATTCGCTAGTTTTTCTAGTGAAAGAAGTGTCGCAGTCAATGTTTTTGTGTCGGATGTTCTAAATAATTTATTTCAAATGTTTGAACTGTTTGTTTAAACAATGCCTTATATTCTTCCAGTTTAATTGCTTTCTGTCAGTCAGTAAATAAATAATATATATATTTTGTATGTGATAGCATCAATTTGCACCATTCCAATTTTCAATCAGATGTCTGTGCTCCTGTAATTCCACTAAAACTAAGTGTTTGATGATGTCACTAATCGCAAAATATACTTTATCACATAAGAATTAATAGAATTGCAGGAACCACAGCTGTCTGATTGACAATTGGAATGTTGCAAAGTGATGCTATCAGTGTCCCCAAAGCGGGTACAATTTTTAGAAAATCTCTTTACAATTTTAACTGATAATTGTTCTGTAAATGCTTCAAAAAAGTATTGCAAGTCTCAGATTGTCTTTGTGTTGAAAACTATTTAAGGATAGGCCTAAATACATATCAGATTGAAATAAAATTTTCGTGAACAATATTTCATATAAGACTAATTCTGATCACAGAAAACTTTTATTGAGCTACAGTTGTGTTTCTCATTGTGTTTCCTCAAGTTGAGATCAAGTATAGCCAGGATTTAACGTTATCCGATTGGCTGATAAAAGTTAATTCTAGATCAGTTTTAGTGATTGACCAATCAAATGATTGGAACACTTAAATCATCTCAAGTTATGCGAAATACTTCATTATTTATATTTAAATATTTATGTTTATCCTGTTCAATATACATAAGATAAATTATATTTTTGTTTTCAAACGTGTGGTTTTAATTTGGCATTTGACCATATTCTATGTGGGCAGGGCAGGGGCGTACCTAGTACATACCTGAGAAGAGGGCATATGACCTGAATTTTAAGGGCTTAACTTTCACTTTAAAATAAGACTTTTCAGAGGCCCGAAGGAGGGATTCAATGTGAAACGAAGTAGATTATCAATTGATAATCTTCAATATGGTGTTAAAGGGTTCGATTTAAATTGAAATATCAAGGTAGGGAGAGACTGAGAATAGTTGAGAGGAAAGTACGGGGATGAACATGTGAAGGATGCAGGAAGTAGGCAGAAAGAGATGCCGTAATGAAAATACGGAGTGAGTAGAAGAAGTTGAGAGGAATGTATTGAACGGGAAGGGGCATTTATGGATGGGTGGAAGAGAAGCAGTATCGAGGAATGGTTCGGAAACGTTAAGCCGGAGGGGCAGAATATCAGGGGGCGGGGGATTTCTGGTCCTAGGGATATACACCTATATTGAGAGGCACTTATTGTACCTCCATGCATTACTTCGAATTACAGTACTCCGATGATTTGTTACTTGTCGCCGAGTTCCATGTATATAACTATTAAGTTTCTGTCCATATCGGGTAGTCTAAGATTGGATTTACAAAATTTTCAAAAGTAGTCTCAGTGGTCAATTAAAAATTGTAGAGAGTTCCTTCCCTTTGAGCAAATCTGTATAAAAGGTTACTATTTAAATGATAAAAAAAATCCAAAATGTCCAGATGTAGACTACAGATCGATCTGTCTAATAAAGTATAAAATAATATAATAGCCTAAAAAAAATAATAATATTGTAAGATGAAATTTGTTTTGACAAATGAAAATATCATTTTGCCACCTAGATAGAGATGCTTTACAGATGGCATTTGCAAGTGTAAAATGTTGAAGGAAAGTGATATGTATAATGTTTAAGGTTTTTTTTTTTTTACAATCGGCATTTATGCTACAGAGAATAAATATATCATTCAAGGGAATAAACGTTAGGAATTGTTAAAGGGATAACATGCTTATGAAAAATACAACAATATTAATAAAAAATGGTACAGCGAAACATAGCAGAGCTATTGGTCTCTGATATCTTCATATTTTCTATTCGATTTGGATATTATTTGTTGAAAGGATTTTCTGCCGTTGATTTGGGTGTTCAATATGTGTACATGTAAATAGTCTTCAGAAATACTAGTCAACTACAACAATAATTCCTTCAAAAACTAGGAATTTTTCTTTCTTTTTCAATAAATATCTTTTTTATTGCTGAGTCTCAAGAAAAGACGAGTCGTCTTTTTTACTTTCTAACTGGATAATAATGCACACATGGATTTGAAGGCTCACATTAAGACAAGAGTACTGATTAGCTTAGCTAAAAAAATCCTGTTTCTGAGACTAAACAGATGGCCAATCTGTTCCTTTCAAGAGTAATTATCCATTTGTATCTTGACCATCGGTCTGAACCGGATCCGTGAATCCGTGCATTTCTGATGAACCACATTTAGCCTCTATCATCTAGTCTTTGTCTTCGTTCAGCTATTCTCGTCTAAAACGGACGTATGGGCGTAAAAGACAACCGCATTTTGAATCGCAACCTTAACCATCGAGCCAATATTTGAATCCCCTGTCTCATGTTTGGCTTTGCACTTTGCACTGCCAGTTATCTGGTTCGTATGAAATCCATTTCTAGTGGTAGATTGTTCTATCTGGATAACTTCTGGTTATAACTGAATAAGTTTATTTACCAGTGCGAAAGCAACTAAAAGTTATTGGGATTGATAAAACCGAATTACTTTTGCAGTGCGAAGTTGCAAATATGAAACGAATTATTATCCTGAAAAGCCAATTCTTATGAAAACTGTTAAAAAATTGCTTAGTTATCTTGAAATATAACCTCTCACGATGAAAATTGTTCTCATTTGAACAAAATTGATATACATGTATATTTCAAGGACAAAAATGTTGATCGCAAATTCCGAATTCGGAAAAAAAGGTTACCACTTGACCCTATAGAACATGCCTAATTGCTCTATAATGATCAATATGAGTCAATAAACAAAGAAGAGTGTGTATACATGTATAATGTGCCTTTATAGTATAATTCTCTTATTCTTACATTAGTATTTTATGTAAGAAAGATCAAAACAATTGTGGCATATATGCTTTAATGGTTCTCCCAGTCCTATATATAGTTTCTTTACTGAAAATATAATGATTATTATTTCCTATTGATTTTATACTGAGAGTATATTGACATTATAATGGTAGTATAAAGAGATATTTCAATATTTTCTAATCTAAACATGTTAATATATTTACTCTTGCCGGAAATTAAATCTTAATAAATCTTCTAAATGAAAGTTTAATACAAAGATTTTTGGTTTGCTCTCGAACTTACGTAATTACTATTATCGCTACGGTTGTATACTGGTCGAATTAAACAGTTGTATCGGCAGATAGGTTGGTATAATTCTGTAAAATTCGTAAAATTGACAATATGACCTTTCACCCTCAAAAATGGTGTCTACGCATGATGAGATATTAAAATCGTTGAAAATAAGATCTTTTTAACAATTTTTACTTGTCCAATAACGACTTTCCGGAGTTTTTTTGGAATGTTCTTTTGTAATGCTTAAGTTAAACTTCCCAGTCGCGGTTACTGTCAGAGGTTCTTTATAGATTAAAAATCCAACGACCGATTCGTCTGTAATTTAATGAGATGTTAAGGAGACAATAACCAGTGTTATTACAATTAGAATTAACTGCGAGTCAATAATGCTTTGGATATCTAGATAGCTCTCCGTCGAAATTTGAGCCTTCAAATCATTGGGTGTCCAGAATTATCCACGTTGGAAAGTTAGAAAGGTGTATCGTCTTTTCTTGAGACACTGCCATATATAGAAAATACATCTGTAGAAATGGGGAAAATAAATTCCGAGTATGTGATATTTTTGAAAGAATTATACGATTTTTGTATAGATATAGTAGTTCTGAAGACTATTTACATATGTTTAAGACCAAAATCAACCCCTGAAAATGGCGCATCTGTACCTTTAAACTCTATTTGAATCACAAAAAGAAAATTGAAAGGGGTACATATCTTTAAATTTCTACAACGTTATACTTTCTATCAGCTGGCATCTCTTAAAATTCACTTTAAACATGTATATGAAATGCATAGAATTGAGTACAAAATACATTTCTCCAAGTAATGTACTGTTTTGTGGAAGACGGGGATTTTATTTTGACTAGTCAATCAGACCGCGAGGAAATATTTCAATCGGGAAGTTTTCTTAAAAGTCTCAGTTAGTGAGCGCGTTTGCGCATAAGCAGTCAAATTGAACACGGCATCGCATCAAGACCATTTCTTTCTTACGATCGTTGTTCTTTTTGAACTGGAATAAAAATCGATCGAAAGTCATTGTATTTTATCTTTTTGTGGCATTACCTGAATTATTCAGATTTATTATAAGATCAGTCAATATAATATATTGCCTTCGATTCCGACTTCATTTGAGTTTCATCTCGAGCACTCAAGAATGTTCGCATGGGAAGGGTTGATAGCTTTTTTATGTCTTGCATTGACATGTGTATATGGAACTTCTGAAAAAGGTAAGGCATTATTGGAAAAGGCACTTTTTGGAAGTGATATTTTTTTTAACCAGGTCTGAAGTGATTTTTTGAAAGAGGTAAGAGTTTTGTGACGTAGTGTCGATGAATTATCTGCAACAGCCCAGAGTTTCAGGATGTGATCTTAAAGAATTATCTGAAACAGGAAAGGGTTTCATGATGTGCCGTTAATTAAATATTTGAAACAGGTAAGAGTTTTATGATTTTCATGAAATATCTGAAACAATTATAAGTCGAATGACGTGATGATTATGAATTATCTAAAACAGGTTAGAGTTTTACGACCCGATTTTTATGAATTAACTGAAATAAGAGTTTTATGACGTGGTGTTCATAAAATATCTGAAACAAGTTTGAGTTTTATGACGTGATGTTTATGAAATATCTGAAACAAGTGTGAGTTTTATGACGTGATGTTTATGAAATATCTGAAACAAGTGTGAGTTTTATGACGTGATGTTTATGAACTATCTGAAACAAGTGTGAGTTTTATGACGTGATGTTTATGAAATATCTGAAACAAGTATGAGTTTTATGACATGATGTTTATGAACTATCTGAAACAAGTAAGAGTTTTTTTTCTGTGATGTTTATGAACTCTTTGAAACAGATAAGAGATTTATGATGTGATGTTTATGAATAATCTGAAACAAGTATGAGTTTTTTGACTTGATGCAAAATTTTCTAGAAGTGATATTCATTAAAGGGACAGATGCGCCTTTTTTTTTACCAATCAGACTTTAGTCTTAGAAACGGGAATTTTCTGGCTAAGCCGATTGGTAAAAGTGTTCACAGCTCACCGTCGAAATTTGAGCCTTCAATTCTCGGGTGTCAAGAATTACCCGCGTTTGAAAGTTAAAAAGACGAGTCGTTGAGACACTTCCATGTATTGAAAAGGCATATATGAAATAAATTACTCGTTTAAAATATGTTTGAAGGAATTATGCGATTTTCGTACCTTTCCAGTACCTCTGAAGACTATTTACATATATTCAAAACTCAAATGAACTCCCCCCTCCAAATATCGCATACGTCTCTTTAAGGAATTTCTAAAACAGGAAGGCTCATTGTCCTTATCGATATTGATGTTTATTAAATTTTTGGCACTGGCCTCTTGTTTTAGAAATTGATGTCTATGAAAATAAGGGTATTTAATATTTAATCATCACAGTCACCATCAGCATCAGCATCAGCATCTCCCATCTAGAACCTGATCATAAGCGTTCGTCATCATCTACATCATCCTGATTATAACTATATCAACATCATTAGCATGTTCAGCATCACCTTTACTGCTGTAACAAAGTTTTATTCTAATCTAGACTGGTTTAACCAGTCCCTATGGTAGTTGAGCCAGTGTTCTAATCATGAATTTCAATATCTAGTTTTCTCTTGGGAATGGTTTTCAGAATGTTCTGATCCGAGACCAAGTCCAAATACTTACAGAATGGCAAACAAATCATCGTTCCACCACAGAGGTGAAATTAAATATGGATGTTTTATGAATCACATACAAACTGGTGGATCTAACTCATTGGTCTGCAGTCAAGGAATCTTTTCAAACACTCCTCTTCAGTGCAAACGTTAGTCATTTAATATTTCTCTGGATTTTCTTTAGGGAATCTTGAAGCCCAAGCAGAGAAGTCATGGCTCAATGCTGACTGGAATTCCAAGACATTTACTCGAAATGAAGTCGATGAAGTGGACACCATGAATATTTCTAGTTGTACAAGTTATAGCATTTCGGTCTCTATGTCAAAAAGTAGTTATAAGTCAAGATATCTCGGCCCTATAATCGAATAGTTCAAAAACGATGAAAAAAATCTATATGAAATGGAACAGTCAATTTTTAATTACTGAAAATATATATGCAAATAATGAATCTCGTGATTTGGTTTCACATACTTAATACATGTATACGGCATGTTGACACAATTGCAATTTCTTTAGTCAGTACGCCTAAGTCCGTGAGGTCAACAATTTACTATTTCTTGGGGAATTTCAATCTTCGCATACAGATCCCATTCATGTCTTTCAGTAAACTGTGGAAATCCGAAAAAGATCCCTGGCGCAAAGTATGATTCCGCACCACAGCTGTTTCTACCCGGATCGACGGTGACCTATACATGTACATCAGACAATGCAACAATGAATGCGACGTGTGATGTTTCTCTAGGCGGTTGGCGGTACAGTGATTTTGATTGCCTCGGTGAGTATACTCTTTATTTTATATGGGTGAGGATTAGGTTTATATCCCCCAAGAGACATACTCCCGTCTTACGTCTAGCCCGTGGGGACAAACATAAACTATAATGAGACATAAACATTTGATTGGTTAAATCAGGTTAGGTCAAAAGGTTATTGGACGAATGTTCAAGAGGCCCGTCATTAGACCCTAACTGAAGTGTATATATTAAAAATAAAACGTAACAAAACAGAAAATTTGGTTCAATTTTAGACGGGGTTTGAATGTAACACAGCACGATATTTCGATGTACAATTTGTAAGCATACACACATGTATATGACAGATTATGTTATATGAGGACATATTATGTTGTGCTGTGATCAAGTACATGTGTATTAGATGGACAGATTATGTTGATATGATTATGTACATGACCACAAGTACTAATATTAAGGTAACAGAAATGGAAGCCAAAAATCAACTGCTAATTTGTTCATGTGCATGTTCAATTTCAGAGGAACTAATATGGGATGAAGAACCCACTTCAACATCTGATAATGACATAGATACGGTTTACACGTCTCCTCGGGCCAACTATCCATCATGGGCTAGGTACCAAAAATCTGAAAGTAATTCTACTATACATAAAGTTATCTTTATCATGAGACAGGAAGGTAGGTATTTTTATTTGGTGGTAATACAAGTTTGTATTAGATACCTTCCCTAATTTACATGAACGATACCGATAAGTAACGTCTCTTAGATATATTTTTGAATGAAAGTACTTAACTAGGCCATCTGAGTCAGTCGACATAAAAACCTTTGATACATCTGCCGAATTCAAATCACAAACAAAGTTTAGGTTGTTTAGACGAATTGTTTTTTTTATTGAATTGCAAGTTATCTATTTTAATTCCGAAAAGGAGTACATATAACTGAAGTTGTTCTCTATTGGCTTGTAAGTTGTACAGCAAAACTTTGGTCCCCTTAAAAAGCAACAGTTTTATTTCTAGCAAATTATAGCGTTTCTTACATCAACGTATCCATCGTTACGACAGACGAAGTCAATATTTTGTGCGGTACAATAAAAGATTCTTTCCATGATGTTAAAGAATATACTGTAGAATGCAAAGAACCTATCCAGGGCTATGGGATCAACATTACAGCAGAATTTGACACGGAATATTGGAATCTCGCGTATTTGATTTTATCTGAAGTCCATGTCTATGGGATAGATAATGAAGGTGAGCCTATATTTTTGTATAAATAATATTTTCTTCAATAACTGAAAGGGATCAGGAAACAGGCTTATTGCAGCCTATATCAGCCCTCCCCCAGCAGATGATGAGCCTATAGTGGCAGCTGCAGAACTTCGGATCGGTGGGAACCAACACCAATTATTTTTGAATCTTTTCATAAAGGGGTGGGGGTCATGAGAAAAAATGTGAAATAAAGAGCTCAAATCCTGCATTTTATGCAATTTGAAAAAAATGTATTCTTGAGCATTTAGGGGTGGGGCACCTATCATATAACATATTCCTCAACTACCCGTATCACTTTTCATTAGAATTGGACGTGTTTGTTAAGAATTAAGTGGTCAAGTATGATTAACCATATATTTTACAACACTTATAAGAAGCAATTGCCCACATTTACACACAATGAATACCAATAATACACCAAAAAAAAAACAAACTGTAAACATGTTTAATATTCTTTTGTTCCACATTGATTGCAATGTAATGCATGGAAATGTGTAGCGCTAATTCATACGAAAGTACGTGGAAATACATGTAACACACGCGAATGTTGTTCACTGCCAATTGAATCACTACTTTATCACATTTTAAGTCATTTTTAAATCTTTACAACGCATTTTGAAGGCTTAGTTGAAATATTTACTGAAATATTTATTGAGTCGAAATGGTGATTCAATCGGTAATAACTATGTGCATGTGTGTTATTTCCATATAAGAACCATACTTAATTTCATATGACAATAAGTTTGTTTTGAGCCACCTGAAATGTAGTTATAGTATCAAACATGTAGTGTAGCTGATTCTGTCTGTCTCACACAACCTCTCCATCACAAAGCCGTATGAGCATAAAATTCTAGGTGGTCATGGGAATCTGTCCTCAAACTTATTTTGTCATGGAACCGAAAAATAAATATATTGGCTGAAAATCAGTCTAGATCAAATTACACCCAACTTTCGTTTCGTTTTTTTAATTAGTTTTTATTTTTAGTGTAGCCACTCTGAAGTATAATTAGAAGTGGCCATACTAAGAATAAAAACTAATAAAAAAAACCGAAACGAAAGTTGGCTGAATTTTTTAAGAAGAAGACCTTGGTTGTCTTCAATGGAAATGGTGAACTACTGTCTGCCATATTATTCAAGCTTTTGGACAGTGAAAAAAGAATCAATTCATCTTTTTACAATGTTTTCAAGGAGACTACACTGATTGCGGTTCACCGCCAGTCCTGTATGGAGCCGAATCAGCCACCAATACTCTACAACGTGGAAATGTTGCTCACTATTATTGTCTGTATGATTTTAATTTCATCAATAAACGCAACAGTCCATCACAGTCTAGTTGCTTATCAAACAATACGTGGTCACAGCTGGACAATTTTTGTGGAATAGGTAATGAAATGTTACAGTGGCAGTAAGCACCAATTAACGGTATATCTTTTAAAAGAGTTGGATTCAATGATATATTGAATATATTTGAAAATAAGATAATTTTTGATAAGTTATAAACAGATCAAGCTCTAACTCTCTTAAAACCATAATATTAACTATATTAACAAAAACCCATAAATTGTTGAACACTTGGAGAAATCATTTTAATCACATTTTTGTTTTATGAAGCTGACACACACTCTCCATTGTACATTTTTTTTTTACAGATCAACAAAGTCCTCAGAAAAATTACCCTAAAGGTGAGTTAACAGATTCTAGGTTCCAACCACATTTGTAAAAACAATCCAGCTTAAAGGGATTGTAAAGAGGTTTTCTAGCCTTTTTATATATCAATCAGGTTATTTAACGCCCTGATTTGCACAAATATCATACAACTCTTCCATTCCGTTATAACTAAGCTATATTAGACGTAGTAAAGAGTTTTATAAGGCAAGGGTGAAGCAAAATGTGAATGAGTCGACAATTTTTAGTCAGAAATGCAGCCATCTTGTAAGGGAAGATAACATATATTTTATATTATTGTGGTCGGGTGTTAGGTTGGTTACGAATTCTCTTGCTGGAGCTGCGTCATTTCCGGTTAAATCTCTGTGGAATTGTAGGTACCACAGGCATCGGACGAGAATTGGAATGTCCCAAATAGAAGTCAAAGGTGTCCCGATACACATAAAAATGGCTATAGAAAAACTATTTTCCATCCATTTAAATTTAGGAAATTTGTAGCCTGAAATATATGGCACAACTCGTTCTTCGAACGAGATAATTCGGAGGGGCATCGGCACGTTTAAGGCCAGATATAAAATGTCCCTAAACAGGCCGATATCCCAACCGTATATCACATCCGAGGAACAGATATATATTGGTATGTCAATGTATTACACACATTTTTCATTTTACTTTATAGGTGTTGAATGCTTACTAGAGCCAACGGGAAAAGACTACATAGGAAAAATGAACTACACTATATCTGGTAAATCTTGTCTTACATGGTTTGGTCACCCAGACGTTGAAAAGTGGTCGTTTCCTGGCGATGTGTTAGATAGTGACAAATATTGCAGAAACCCGGAAGGAAATTTCCAAGAAAAACCATGGTGTTATGTCGATGACTATAACACAACCGAACATTGTCCACTGGTCGAATGCAGTAAGTTATATTTCATAGAAAGAATTCAAAATGGGATATTATCAATGACCTCCTTCTCACCGCCCCGCCTCCTTTTTACTTGATTTCGTGATTGAATTCCTGGCGATGTGTTAGATAGTGACAAATATTGCAGAAACCCGGAAGGAAATTTCCAAGAAAAACCATGGTGTTATGTCGATGACTATAACACAACCGAACATTGTCCACTGGTCGAATGCAGTAAGTTATATTTCATAGAAAGAATTCAAAATGGGATATTATCAATGACCTCCTTCTCACCGCCCCGCCTCCTTTTTACTTGATTTCGTGATTGAATTCTGTTAAAAACACAATTTGTCTATTTATCACTAATCATTGACATTGGCATAACTCGTTTCACCTGATGATTATGTATATCATTTGTAGCCCACATTATAACATCATATAAGGTTAAGTACCATAAATTATGTTCTTGGAGATATTTTATATCTATGCTATTTTCAGATATGATTTGTTCTATGTATGATGACGATTTCGAGTACATTGGTTATAAGAAGCATGACAAGGAAGGTGGTACTTGTTTGAACTGGCAAAGCGATACGGTTTCAGAGGAATTTTCATTGTTCATACCAGAAGCTTTTCCAGATAAGGAGAGAGACCATTCTTATTGTCGGAATCCAGGGAGATCGCAGAAAAGAGCTTGGTGCTTCAGTAAAAAAGATGATAAACTTGTACACAAATACTGCTCTATTCCACCTTGCGGTAAGTATTTTAATTTTACCGTACTAGAGGCAATTGCAATGGTTTGCTATCAGTCAAGAAAGTACCTCTAGACTACGCCTACCTCAAAGTTCTTGTAGATTAGTAGTTCAGGTCGACAGTGGAATAAATACAAAACACTCACATCGAAAAATAAATTGCCTACCAGCAACAGTGATCATTGGATGGTCGTGGATTCCAATCCAAGTTGACGACGATTCAGATGTCGTCATTTGATCTCTTTGACAATCCAGTTCGTAAATCCTGCTTTTCTGTACCAAGTGGGCTAATGAAGACGAAATATCCTTCAAAGGCGCTTTTATTGAGAATTCGAAAATGAGCACATTTCTTTATACCATTTCAAAGAGTCCATGTGGCTAACGGATTAAAAAGTTCCTAATAATATTACTTAGTATATCTATTTTTAGACTCGGTGGTTCCAGAAATTATTGACGTTGATGAAATGGAAGATTTGATGTATGAATGTGAGACCGTGTATTATTGGAGACCATATACATCAGATGCTGTCTTTGCATCCTCTTATTGGAATTTCACCCAAAAGTCTGTAAAATATCTTGGATGCAAGTCATATCGGTCACTACATTTCTTTATATCTAGAATATTCTCAAGCGGAGGTCAGGAAGTTGTTGAATCTCCATCTAAGTGGTACATGTTCACTTGTGGTAAGTGTAGTGGCAATGATGTATCATTCAAGTCAAAAAGCCACACAGATTTTCCAGTTAGAAATTTTTTTTAATCCTTCAGTTGAAAACTATTTGTAATTCTGCAGTTACAAACTATTTGCAATTCTTCAGTTAAAAACTTTTTTTTAAATTCTTCAGTTGGAATAATTCTTCAGTTGGAAACTATTTTTAATTCTTCAGTTAGTTACTATTTTTAATTCTTCAGTTGGAAACTATTTTTAATTCTTCAGTTAGTTACTATTTTTAATTCTTCAGTTGAAAACTATTTTAATTCTTCAGTTAGTTACTATTTTCAATTCTTCAGTTGGAAACTATTTTTAATTCTTCAGTTCGTTACTATTTCAAATACTTGAGTTCTTTAGTTGGAAACTGTTTTTGAATTCTAAATCTTATTTTAGTCGGATTGAGATGCCATACCAAAATCAGGTTCATACTGTGAAAAAAAGAAAGCCAAATCAATAAACTGTAATGTAGAACCAAAAGCGAAACTTGGTGCATATTGCCGTAATAAATTCAACAATTGAACTATAGATTGTGTCTTGTAAACTGCCAGCGGATATGGGTTGGAACAATATCCCGGACCGACTAACTGTGCCAACCGGAAGTAAACTTTGGGCATTACTTATATAATGGATTGATAAATTGATACACAAATATTCAGACAAAAATATTCAAAATAATATAAGATAATATTCGTTTTTCTTGTGAAAAAATAATTCCATTATTTGATACTACCGAATATTCTACATATAGGATAGAGTATCTTAGCATTGTCACATAGTGTAACATATCATAGCGAACGATTAATAATTTGTATGTTCATTTTCAGATGCTGCTGAGACAACAACAATTACAACCACAAATGACATAGATGTATCTACAACAACAACAACACGAACAACCTCGCTTGAAACCACAGAATCTGATAACATTTCAAGCAGCCAAAAACCCGAGACGACTACGGACAGTAACCTGCAAACAACTCCACTACCTACAAGGAGACCAAATCCTGAGAAGACTGAGTTAACAACCAATGGGTTACAAACAACCACAGACGATCAAAACACACAAGAAATTACTGTCAACAATACAACATACAGCACGATTGCAATTACGGACTATGACCGGCAAACAACTCCGTCACCTCCAAGCACGCAACAAAAGAGCGATGAAACAACCAGCAATGAAACCACTTTGACAACAACCATCTATAGTAATGCAACAACCTATAACGTTTATGAAACCACTTTGATAACAACCAATAACAACAACGAAACCACTTTGACAACAAACAATAACAGCAATAAAACTTCGTTAACAAGTAATACCAATGGAACAACTTCGCCAATAAGTTATGGCACTACTGACAGTAATAGAGTTAACTCAACAATCGATGGAACAACATCACCAAATTATTCCGCCAGCAGGGAATCTAGAAATCTATATAATACAACCGAAAGTAGCAAGTCGACAGATGTTTCCACAAGAATCACTACAGCGCCCCGATTTCAACATACTTGTCCATGCAGTTGTCAAAAAGACAAAACCATTGGAACTATAGAGAAGGAAATGAAAAAAGTACAAAAGGAGCTGACTGTTGAAAAGTCGACACTTTCGACAACTATACGAAAACAAACGAGTGCCGTTGATAATCGACCATCTGCTGTCTCTATGGGGTATCTTGGTATTATTCTACTCGCTGTTACGTTTGTTTTGATAATTTTGCCCGATGTTTTGGGCCTTCTGCGATACGTAACTAACTACCTTAAAAATAGACAGCTCATTTCAGCTCACTGATTTTCTCAATTATTCGCTGTTTTCGCTTTGCTTAATTTCAGCAATCAATATCACTTTTAATATTGGAAATCTTATGCTGGGTTCGTCTACTATAAAACAAAGAACTAAGGAAATGCTTATAGAGGTCTTAGATTAATCTGTTAACAACCTGTGAAGTCGGATGAGTTGAGTTTGAACATAATATGCATTATATTTGCTTCTAACATTGTCCATAAAAAGTTACAACATAGTCTGCCTCTATTCCAGCCCCTTTTGACAGTAGTCGGCTGAAGTAGAGTCTGAATAAATAGGCCCGTTAAATGAGGATTTTCCTCACATCCGAAGATGCGTTGAGAAAATGATAGCATGACGGAACTACAAAAATATATCTAGGTTTTGCAGATGCGAGGTATCTAAATAGGTTAAAAACCCGCACCTGTTGATATTCGGTCTAAATTCCAACATTAATATTATTACTAGCTCATGTTAACTCTTCTTGTAGAATATGATATTTACTTCCAAATATAGCTTGCTAATCTATCTGCAAGCCACGTTTAATTATTTCGCCAGCTATAAAGGTTGCTTAAAGGTATGAAAAACTTGTGATTATAAAATGCAAATTATTTATTGCACATATTTAATAATAAATAATGGACAATAAGCACATGATTAAATCAAGATATATTAGGATTTTTTTGAAAAAATATATTATACATGTACATGAACAACACAAAGAGCTGAATATTTTAAGCTTAAACAATAACTTTCAGCTCAATCCTTCAGATACATTCGTCTATATACTTTAACAACAGTTGACCAGCATATATTTAGATTTTTTAATGCCCGAACATTTTTGAAAGAATCGAGCAGAACCCCGACTAACAAATCAATCCAGTTGGCAACTGTACGATTTATTCCAAATATGAATAATATATATATATATAAATAAATCTTGGAATGTCATAAATAATAAATTGAATAAAGTGAATAATTAAAAAAATGAATAAAATGAAATGAAGCTATGTATATGGCAAGCATAGAGATAATATTAAAATACAATGTCAATTATTTAATATATGTCAGTACTATTAAAGGGATTGTAAAGAGAATTTTTTAAATAGCTTTATCACACAAGCCCTTCATGATTAGTGACGTCATCAAACTCTTAGTTTAAGGGAAATTGAAGGATCCACATACGTCTGATTGAAAATTGGAATGGTGCAAATGAATGCATTTTTTCACCTTCAGGTGTATACTTCTATAAACATTTCAGCGAACTTTCCCAACAGTTCACAACTATCTCATACCAAGGCAGGTATTTTTACTTGTTTCGTTTCATTATGTCACAAATTTACCGAAAATTAGGCTTCTGAATTTCCTAGACGAGCCATAGCATTTGGATCTGAAGATTTTCCAAATTTGATTCTGATTGCGACAATATAAGACGGATGGGGTTGATTAGCACGCCTGTTTTACTATCCAAAATACAATATTAGGCCTATCCTAAATTTCAGTTTCCAGATCTTCAACCAATGCGTATTCCAATAACTGGGGGAAGCTGGATTGCTCTTTCCCAGTAGAGAACCGGGCAATAATCTTCACTTCCGACGCTTTCGTAACCATAATGTAACCTTCCCAGGTAAAGCCAATCTTGCGTTTGAGATGATGCCATGTGTCACCTATGACCACAAACACCTCGACCGCAGAAGGAACGTCCAATTTGAAACTACATCTTTTGTTCACCATGAGATCGCCAGAGATCGGTTCGTGTAATGTACACCGCTGCCATTTATGGAAGGTTTTGGGAAAGGCTGCTGTAGTAGGACTTGGCTCTTGGCAAATGACCAAATATCTAAAAGCACATTCTAAATTATGAGTACCACCAGTATTGTCCTCATCAGCGGCAAACAATGAAAAAATATAAAAACCTTCTTTTGGACAACGTACTAAATAATTGGCGGTTTTGTCACTCCGAGATCTTAAGAAGACGTATCTGTCTATGTCTTCGACAGATTCGTCATTAACGTCATAATATTGAAACGTGTGAGTCACTTTCACGTCTTTGATCATTTTGAAGTTAATGTCCAGATAGTCACTGTTACACACTATTAGAGGGTCTATTCCACCATCTGTACTGATGCCTAATTTCTCCATAACAGGTGTTGGACCATAGAACGGTACTGGTGGATACGGTGGGGAAGCGGTACCAGAGATTTGGGTGCAGTGAATCAAGAAACTACAAGCACTTTCAAGACATTCGGAATGCCAATAATCCCCCGAATACACACTAAAATAATAAAATCCTGGCTTGGGCAATGACACTGTAAATATAGCATCATTTTTGATAATTCTTAATAAAGTTCGACCTTCCATTTGTCTTGAATCCCCAACGGATTTGTCCAAAGGTTCCAACAGAGATCCAAATCCGAGAATTTTTGGCATTATTAGACGGATTTCAGCCATGCCAGTGTCTGTAGTGATGGTGGCACCGTAGTTAGAATAAAATCTTAATCCGTAATTAAAGAATGGGGATTTAACTACTGGAAGATTTAAGAATTCAGAAAATGGCAGGGGAATGTCTAAAAGTTGCCAGGAAGGTTCGTCAGGATAATGTTGATAGATATAGTCTTCAGGATCGGTAAGGAAGTAGAACTCGTCATATTTATGGAAGAGTTGAGGAAGGTCATCGCGATGACCTGTCACGTGTCTAGCTGCCCAGGTACAGTTAATGAGTCTCCAACTACCATCAATATTAACAGCTGTCCACGAATTTCGGAATGAATTTCCTTCCATGCGCATGCCTGGTTTATATCCTGCACCTTTTGAGTAACCAAGAATGATTTCACAATGGAGACCTGCATAGCTGAAAAGGAAGATCAATATCAATAATGAAAATAAGCAGTATATAGTTTTTAACCGATCGCATGTACATGTAATACTGAATTATGTGAACTCTTCAAAATGGGTGGCGAGATAACGGATAGTTTCCTCAGAAGTTCCAAAATGAGATCATTCTACTGTCTCGATAGCAACTTCTAGGATTGGTTTTGTAGACTCTAGTAAAAGAAAGCCGATTTGACTCTACCAGTCGATGAGATGCATCATATTGATTCTAACTAATTGTTCCGAATGATTTTATTGCTGTAGTCAGTTTCTCGTTTTTCTACTTTTCAAATAACCTCGGACAGTGTTTTCATTGAGACTTGTCTCGATACTTAATAATACTAATTCTACGTACCAACATAGCTTTTTAAACAAATGATGATAAGTTTCTTTGCCACTTTTAACTCCCTTTAACAAAGTAGAGGTGGCATTAGGATGAACGATCTCGTTCACTGTGTTTTTATTTAAATCTTTAGCTATAACCCATCTGAATATCACTCTACAATGGAAAAATATTGAAATTTTAAAAGCCAGAATATGCAGATTTCGCACCATCAGAAGATACGAATGATTGGGAAAGATCAATGGAAAAAAGTGACGTCATAAAACGTGGAATTGCAGAAATCACAGATGTCCGATCGAAAATTGGAATTGTGCGAATTGATGATATCAGTGTCCCCAATAAACATGAAAAATTTAAAAAACCTCTTTACATCCTTTGTAGTGCAATTAGGATTCATGATGTCGACACACAACACCATGAAGAGTGCAATGTAAGAATTATTGTATCAACAGCAACACACTCTGTTTAAGATACTCTGATAATACGCTTAAAATAATGTTTAAAATTTGGTAACGTATTTAGAATCTAATAACGAATTTGATACTTACCGGACCTTTTCCAATTCAGTATTACAATCTTTAATCAAATCTCTAATAAGTTCAGTGTAAGTATTGTAATTCTTGCTGCAGAGCTGAAAATAACAAGTAAATACAATACCATGTTACTTTAGAAGTTAGTTTTCTGATGAGTTATCTCCCTTTGTCAATAAAATTCATTCAGATCCCTGAGTTGTTTCCGTTAAAAGTTTTGTCTTTATACAACAACAAGATTCTGTCAGATAAATGTGGTGCTTGTGACAAAACTTATACAGGAACAAGCAAGATTGTGGTTTTGCTCTTAATATCAAGAGTGCTAGTTTATCAATTATTTCGATCTCAGATTTCCGCATAAATGTAAAATATACTCACAGCTACTGCTCTTTTATCGATGGCTTCAAAATGAGCTGGTGTCTTATAGAGATAGGATTTCTTATTTTCTGGTGGTATTACAGGTGGTTTCATAGAATGGTCGTGGATATCAGCTTTACCACTCTCTCGCTCCTGAAACATGAGAAGAAACTGGTCAAGATACCTTCGTTAGGAAGAAGCAGTTGTAACAACATTTTCCAGTCGATCAAGTTCAATCTGAACTAATTGTGCCACTTTTCATAAAGGAAATCCCATCACTGCTATCTTCACCCTATGAGACCAGTTTTGCCAGAGAGGTAGAAGGTAAGATATAATAGTGTATAATCGCTAGGGCAGGACAAAACCCTATGTGAAAATACCAAGAAAGCATAGACATTTAACACCGTTACTGCTTTTATTTAGATGGACAAAATACAGAATGTGTCCTATAATAGGATGGTCCCATACGAATATCCAGTTACCCACCTTTTCGGCAATAAGTGCCATCATTTCTAGACAATGTCTATCTAACATCTTGGTTGTTCTAGCCTTTTCCTCTGTTGCAGTTCTATCTGTGACGGTCCTCAAACGTTCATCTCGTAATCGTTTAAAATGGTCGTCTATTCGGTCTTTTTCAAATGCCTAAGAAGATCAGAAGACTTTAAGCATCTCTTTAGAGGAATTTTGGGGCTTTATCATGATACAAGCCTAATTTGAGCAGTTGATCGGTTGGTATGTAGTAATCAGCTTAAAATCAAAGTTCGATTTGAAACGAATTAAGGAAGGATTTCTAATATCAATAAATGGAGTGATAAATAGAAACCATGGAAAGGAATATAATCTGCATTTTAAGCAGACTGTTTAAATATTCATCAAAAGAGACATTCAGATTGCCACTCATCTTCACAATGTCAAGCTATTACGAATTTTGTACTTATGCCTTGACTGCAATAGCCACTATTTTTGTATCAAGTAAATGCAGCGAATTGGTTGGAATATACGTTCGCAAACACAGCCGATCAAGGTCCTCGACAGAAAGTCTGTAAAATATAAGTCATAATGTTCGCTGTCTTTCTATCAAGGGCTCTGATTGGCTGTATCCACTGTCGTACAATCCAATAAAATCCGCGATACAAGAAATGTGGCTATTGTAATAAAGGTATAAGACGAAGTTCGTAATAGCTTGACATTATGGATATGGTAGCCACTTTGTTAAACGTTTCTGTGGAACTTCAGAATTTCTTACCAAGCTCCTATTGCTTCCATGAATCGACATTTGATCCATGCTGGCCATCAGATCGGCGGAAGCTCGTCCTCGTTCCATATCAATAGTGTCATCTAATCTTCTCATCTCTTTCTCTCGTTCTTCTACCAGAAATCTTTGTAGCCGCTCTTCTTCTTCACGGTGTCGCTGTTCCAAGAATGACTGAGCTTCAAAAACTCCCATATCCTCAAAGTCCTGCAATATTGAGTTAGTCTGTGTCCAGACAAGACCAAATCGAAATGGATGAAATGAAAATGAAAATGAAAATGAAAAATGAAAAATGAAAAATGAAATGAACAGATAATGAATGAAATAATAACGAAAATAATGAATGAAATGATAATGAATGAAAAAAATGTAACTGAATGGGATACAAATGGGCATATGCATGACCAAAATTAAATGGAAATAAATGAAATTAAATGAGATGAAAATAAATGAAATTAATTAAATAGAAATAAAAAAAATTGGCATTAATGAAATTTAACTTTGTGTTTAAATTAATTTGCAATCCGTATAAAATTCTAATCGATTACAAATTAAACTATAGGGACAGAAATGAAACAATGCATACCCTATAACTTTGTAGAATCGGTCTGGGATGGTCAAACGATTTCATACTTCCATAACTCATATTATGGGATAGATTAGTACTAAAATCAAGAGCCTGGGAAGACTGGGTTATCCAGGCACTGGTATCCATGGTACTCCGAGGAGTAACACTGGCAATACTAGATCCAGGACTGTAGCTCTGATTATTAGGGCTGTGTCCAGGAGAATTTCTATGGGGAGGTGCTGGTAGTCCTCTCTGAGTAGGTCTTCCATTGATCTGAAATGGATAAATCAAAATATCAGGTGGCTTTCTACTTTTTGGATGATGGAACTTAACCCTGTTTTGTGCAAGATTCTTAAATGATTTGGCGTGTTTTGTCTGCTTTGGGTGAATTTCGGGTGTATTTTGTTTTGCTGCTGAGGATTATGTGCGGGCGTGTTGTTGCTGCCCTAGAGTGTGATTTTCAGGTGTATTATGTCTTGCTGCATTACATGATTTTCGGGTGTATTTTGATTTGCTGCTGAGGGTTATGTGCGGGCGTGTTGTTGCCCTGTGTGATTTTCAGGTGTAGTATGTCTATCTGATTTAGGTAACTTTCGGATGGGTTATGTTGTAGCTGTTTTGGGCGATTTTTTGGATGTTTTAAATTTAATATTTGTGTGATTTACGGGGGTGTTGTGTTTTGCTACATTAGGTGGTTTTGAGGTGAATTGTGTTTTTCTGTTATGAGTGATTTTCTGGTGTGTTTTTTTTTCCTTTTTTTTTCGCTGCTGTAGGTCTTGGGTGATTTTGAGATGAATTATGTTTTGCTACTGGTGATATTTTCGGGGTCTGATTTCGTTTGTATTTTGTTTGATGCTAAGTATATGATCACAAACAGTCTACAAAAGTTAGGTAGACCCCGAGATAAAACATGTAAACGGTAATTTAATTAGTGACTATTAATTATAAAAAAGTTAATTAATGAGATCGTGATATGAATGAATTACACGTATTAGATTGAAATTGTGAAGATGATGATGCAGCTGCTCATAGCCCTTGCTTCATCAGTGTTAGTCCTTCGTTCAATTCATAGCGTTCATTTCACGCAATGGATAGGCGTGCCATCTTACATAAGGTAACAAAAACACAACCAGTGTAAAGAGGTTGAAATCGATGAAAGACGCTTCACATGGCTCTTGATAATAGCTGGGTGATATGGTATGCCTGAATGATCAGCTACCCTGAACATGTATACTAAATATTACGACATTATCATAATCCGGTACGAATTTTACGACTTTATCTGATAATGAATGTCGTTATAAGAAAAATAAATCTCTTCTAAGCTTTTCAATTTGCGCACATAAAAATATCACCATTATTTTCAGTACATGAACTATTTTGATATCTACCTGATTAGGCATGTAGATCTATATTATTATGCATATTATGATGATGCTATGACTAATACTTGTTAAGGCTATATTGCAACATATCAGCATAGGATTTTGTATAAAATGTAATATCAATTTTTCCAATGACCAAGCAAACTTAAGATGATATCATAATCTGATTAGGCTATCAGCATTAAGGAATATTATTTTTGTCAATTGTCTCGATATGTTTTTCAAAAAGATGTTTTTTTTCATGTGGATTATGGAACATAAAATTCAATTCTTTATATTACTCCTTGTTGTTTGTGATGTTCTTTTTTTTTTACTATGGAACATAAATCAAAAATAGATATTGCTTTTTGATGTTTTTGTGTTTGTGGTTTATGGGACACGAAATCAATTCTGGTTATCATATCGCACTCGCTGATGCTAAACATTAGGTTGTAGTTGTCGGTCTACTGCACTAATGGAAGGTTCAAGTAAAGTTTTTTTATGTATAAACTTTTTGAAAAATGTAAACAAATCCGTTTAACACAAACTAAACAACAATACGTGATAGTAAACAACTTCATTTCATTACCTTGATACATTGAAACTCTGTTAAGGTTATGTGAAACAGTTTGAGTGATATAATTTTAAACAAATCAGGCTACAATTACAGATTTGTATTTCGCAAAGTGCTGATATTTCTGTAAGCCGTTTATATTCGATAAATTTATCAATTCCCATTTTAAATGATGACCAAAAAATTAAAATTTTTGAGTCTTTGATCATTAGTGGATTTACCCAATGTCAAAACTTTATAACAGAATCCCTCTATAATTCATTAAACTTATTATTAAGTTATTTTGAAACATACTTAGAAGCGTGTTTCAAGAATTATTTAGTTTAATTGATATATTGTTAAGATTCTATTCTTTAGTCATGGTACCTGGTAAGTCTAACTGATGAATATATACACTTGTTGACCAAGTTTGAGATTTTAAATTGTATGGTAGTATCCTTTTAAGAGTCAACACATATAAGTCCAATGCTTTACCAAAAAATGCTTTCATCTTTGCCAGTGTCATTGATTTTAGTTAATTTTAGTTTGTACCTTTGTGTTCGTTTATTTAAACTTGTGTGTGACTAT